ACTTACAACTCTGTGTTTTTATACACCAAATAGAAATTAGGAGTCCTCTGAATAATTTCGGCAAGTTGACAACATTGCCTGTTACACTGCTTGCTGCTGTAGCGTCGGTGTGCGAATTTTGTTCAGACAAAAAAAATTCTGGAAGACGTGCATTTGCATAGTATATTTTCTATATTAGTTAAAAAATGAATAGTGTTTTTATGCCAGAGGATTATCGATATACAGTGTCCCCCACCCCATAATGTTCGCTACATATGGGGAAATTTTTTTATTTGTAGGATATGGAAATTACGAACGCACAGTATATATAACAATATTAATTATATTTTGCACTTATATACTCATGTTTTGATATTTCAATGCCCTAAAATAATTATTTACAAGATAGGCAATAGGCTGAATAACGAGGGTAAGTAACACCCGATAAAGCGCACGTCTATGCAACCACGGGTGTTACATTTCAAAAACCGAACCGTTGTCGAACGGATTACCGAATGCTAAATAGGATGTTACTTACCTCCATGCCGGAATGCGCACGGGACTGCCACAGGGATCACCCCTGCCCTGAGCCCAATTTTCCTCAAAATCTACACAAAGAAAATACAGTAACAGGAGAAGAAACAACTATACTACAGTATGCAGATGACTTGGCGCTGTTTGTGGTCGATAAGCAAACGGATCAGGCAAAAGCACAAAATACAATGAACAAATTGTACAGAAAACAACTTGGGGTTGAGAAGACAAAAGCCATGGTGTTTTCGAAGGGTAGGAGAAGGAACCCGGATAGAAAAAAAAATATCCAAAATGATGAAATAGAGTGGTGTAGAGAATATAAATATCTAGGTGTTGTATTTGACTTCAGGCTATCATGGAATACACAGATAGAGCAATCAATTAAAAAGGCATAAAATGTAATAAGGGCAATAACAAGGACCTGGTGGAAGACAGACCCCAACATTCTGTTAAACATTTATAAAGGGTTGGTGAGATTGCACATAGAATATAGCTGCCAGGCAATTTATCACACTAGATTGGAATAAGTTAGATTGAACACAGTTTGCATGAAAAGTATACCAGTGTATGCACTGTTATCAGAAACTGCCGAAATACCACTCAGAATAAGAAGTGTACAAAGTTTGCTCTTAAAAAAATGGGCATCAATGGAGACCTGGCAAACAATTAAGAATCTGTTGGAATTCTATGTCCTATATAATCAAGAACCACAATATTGGGGAACAAGCGATGTCCCTTGATGGTAGAGGCGGTAGATTTTACCCTGACCAACATAAACTCTCTGGAAAAGTCAAATAATATACCCTGCTTTGAATATGATTATGGATCCCAAATAGAGAAGATTGAATGGGGGTAGATTCCAGGATGGAAAAGTATGGACAGGATGGAGGAAATCCTCAGCAGATATACAGGGTTTGACCTAATATACACGGATGCGTCTCTGGAACCCATAACAGGGGAATGCGGCATTGGTATAGTCAACAAAAACAAGAACCATAGCGTAATTGGAAAATGTTTAGATAACACTAACATTTGCACTGCTAAAGTATTAGCTATATGTGTCGCTTAATGTGTTAAAGGAAGAAACAAACAAAGTAATATTAACCTCAGACTTCAAGAGCGCAAAGGAATCAGAATAGAAACTGACCAGATTGCTTTGAAAAGCAGAAAGTTAATAATTGATTTGCAGGAAAGGGAAATGGCAATAGAATTCATATGGATACCAAGTCACTCGGGCATTTCGGGAAATGAGGTAGTAGACAGACAGGCTTGTTGAGGCAGAAACGCAGATAACTCTGTTAATAATGAAAATTGTCAAAAAGGAAGCATGGAGAGAGTGGTGTAATATGTACAAGCAAAAGGGAAGAAGTTGTACTAGCAAAAAATTCTCATTGACAAAAGAACCCCAAAAGGTACCCTTGTTGGCACAAATCAGTAAAGCAAATCAACAAAAAATAAGCTCCTTTTGTAGGATGAGAACGTCTCATTGTACATACAATGCCGCAACATTTACACAAAATTGGCATAGTTCCCAATGACAGGTGCGAATGTGGTGAAGTGGGAGACATCAAATTCTGTTAAATTGCCGGCAGAGAAGACCGCAAAGTAACAACTTGTACCTAAAGCTGGTCAAGCACAAGAATGGACCAATACTTATAGAGAAAATCCTGGCGAAGCCAGCAAGTAGTGCAGCAAGAGACATTATGGATCATTTCAAAAAATACAATATCGAAATAACACATTCATACAAGTGTCATACATCAATAATGAACTGAACACATTTATACAAGGTTCACAGTCACACATCATGCAATAAAGTATCATCCCAAACCAAACAGCATCCAAATAGTTCCTAGCTTAAATCCTAAGTAGATAGGAAGCGGCATGCGTAGTAATAGTAGGTGTATTTTTTCCCAAGATGGATTTTGACATTGAAAGCTTTGAAACCTAAACAATACCGCTTGGCCCTGATTGGTAGCAAAATGAGGTGTCCCTGCAGGTCAACATCAGTTTTACAATGAATGTCGTGCAAATGACATTTTGCGACCAATAAACGGCATTGTTTGTGTTTCAAAGTTGACAATGTCAAAATCTGTCTTGAGGAAAAATTAAACTGTAGATAATCATAATAATATTTTATTTTTTGACCAGGCTAAAACGAATTAATCATAGAACAAGTTCCTGTCATCTCCTCGCCTGGCGCAATCTCTACCAAAGCACTGGGCACGCCACAGCGCAAAATCCTGAATCCTTCATTTAAAAATAGTCAAGCAGAGGACTACCCCGTACCGGCTTATGTATGGTGACAAGTAACAAGAAGAAAGCGACTGGCTGACTCTTGTTAATCGACAAGGGGCTATAGCAATTTGGAAGAAGAAGAAGAAGACCACATCGCTATAAGAGGGCTGTTGTGTCTTCACCTTATTTTCGCCTTCTAGGATACATATTTTGTCACATAATAACCCATTGCTTTGTTTTTGTTATAAAATATGCTAAATAATATTATTAACGAAGAATTAGAAAAAGCAGTCAAAGGAGGAAACTTAGAAAAAGTCAAAGCTCTTTTGTCTACAGGTGCTGATGCTAACCTTAGAGTAAAATGGAATAACGATACGTTACTTCATACTGCTAGAAGTGTAGAAATGACTAAAGAGCTTCTATTAGGTGGTGCTCAAGTTGATGCAAGAAACATGTATAGTGAAACTCCACTACATTCTGCTATAACACTGGGGAAGAAATTAGAATTAGTTAGAGAACTTCTGAAACATGGTGCTGATGTAAATGCAACAAACCGTAAAGGCAATACTGCACTGAATCATGCTGTGAAAACAACTGGTGAAAACCTAGAAATAGTTAAAGAACTATTAGAATATGGAGCCGATATTAACATAAGAAATCGTGAACAACGGATGTATGAAGATTGTAATACATCTTTAGATAACGCTGTAAATAAACTGGCGTGCGCTAAATTGTTGATTAGATTTACTTTAATAAGGAATTTCAATAAGGATTACGGAAAAATTATTGACCTATCTCCTTATGAAGGATTTAGAAATTACAGTGAATTATCAAGTTATCTAGATGACTGTGTTTGTGAAATTCTTCAAATGAAAACCGATGAAATAAAAGAGGGCTTTCCACTATATGAATTTGTTACAAATAACTCCAATGTACTATACAATAATCAATTATCTGTAAGACTAGCAAAAATTGATTATTCCATACGCTATCCTATATATAATGATATCATATTAGATAAGGTAAAACCTTTTTTGGAAAGAGCAGATTTATTAAATAAGTTGAGTAAGATACAATTTTATACTAAATTAGATATAACAGATCAAGATGTCGAAGAAAAAAAAATTATTTTGGACTATGATTCTACATATAAAATAACTGGATATCTATCTAATGACAACTTGTTAAACTTTATAGAAGCGTTTGATGATTCCAATAAACGTGCTTTAGATGAGCTTGAAGAACCTGGCACTTCTATAAGTAATGATACCAAACGTGCAAGATTAGAATAAATACATTTTTTGTCAGTTATAAGAGTTTTTTATTAACAACAATTAGTCATATATATGGTTCCAGAGAGGTGATACATGAGAGATTGCTATAATGCTTAAAACACTAAACTTAGTGCTTTTTTATGTGAGTTGATCATCATTTCTCTTTGTTGTTTTCAAACAGGTTATTATTAGTATGTGTTACTAAAAATTTAAACAACCAACACATTTCTCAGGCCCAAAACCAAATATTGTGAAGGCTTTTCCTCCTGAAATTGCATATTCCAGAGACAACAAACCAGGGGAACTATGTAAAGGATAGAGATCGTTATCTGTATCTCTATGGCACTTGCTGTTTTCTCCCTTTTTGGAATCAATAGTGTCACAACTGCCCGCTTTACGGGGGTGACATGGGGGTTTGTAGCTTTGGGGGTTGATGGAGAGAAACTCGCTCAGGTTATATAAAAATATAGATACATATTTTTCCCAAATATGCCCTTACATGTACGCTAATCCTATAAGATGCATGACCCTTCGAACACTGGGGTCGCTGCTTGGGGGACTGTAGATTAGTTTATCGTCACCCCTATGCCTTGTCCAGAGGGGTTTTCCCAACGAGAGGTAATTACACTGGACAACGATAAGGCTGAAGATTCCCAGAGGGGCGTTCCCAACGAGAGGTACTTGCACTGGGGAGACTTAATTCCAGAGTGGCTTTTCCAACGAGAGGTACTTGCATTGGTTTAAGTCTGCCTTTGCTGCGGCTTGCAGCGCAATTTATTGCTGAATTGCAATAAACATTCGATCGAATCGGCAATTAAATTAATAAGGTTGAATACCGGGTCCTCCTTCCCCAAGCAGCTAGTTGACAATAGAGAGGGAATGTCAATAGAGATAGAGAAAATATCTCTATTCATTACATAGTCCCAGGGCCAGTATTTTTTAGAGCATTGTTTTCTAGTATTTGAAGCAAAATCCACAGTAAAAATTGCATAGATAATTTTGGACCCATATATTCAACATTTTATAATATAAAATAAAAGCAATGTTTAATTGACCAAATTCTGACCATAATTAGTAATGAGATCAATTTTTAATACCCTAAACATGAATGATTATGATTTAATCTGAATCTTCATTGGGAGAACTTCCACTACTCTCTTGCTCGGGTTGTGTGGACAAGTATTGAGAAATCTTGTCTTCCAATTCACAGTCTTCAATTAAATCCTGTGGACCCAATGCATTATTCTCACACGCTACATAAGGACACCTCGCTCTTTTCTTGGACTGTGTAATGTAATCATAAATAGACTTCTTATCGTACACATGATTGCATTTTGTGTTTCTCACAGGTTGTTTAATGACAAGTTTCGAAATAGGATCAATCGGTGCTGTGAAAGAAGTAGAACACATTATAGAATCGTCAAGTTGTTCATATACAGCTTCTTTTTTGTTTTTTCTTTTACTACTAGATGGTACTTCTTCAATATCCTGGGTTTTGGAAAAGATCTCTCGCCAAACATGATGGTTTTTGGGGTTTTCTTTTTTCGCTTCGGCTTCAGCCTCTGCTAGCTTTACCTGCATCTTTGACTTGGCAACGTTATGATCTTTTTCTGGGCCATTTTCAGAGACATCCTGGCCATAGGATCTTATGGCATTCATAGACTTTTCGAATGAAATAGACGACTTGCAATGATCTAGAGCCATGTCTTCGAATTCCTTGATTTCATTGCCATTATCATCTGGATATTTTTCTAGGATTTCCTGATACGTTTTTAGGATGTTTGTGCATTTTTCAAACTTGGATGCATATCTGTCCTGAGACATGGTTCTTGTTTTGGCGCCTTTTTTTAACCGAGTTTTGAACTTTGGAGAATGAGGTTAGAATAGTCATAGGGAGGGCGTTGAACATCGATATTTCTCCAAAAAAAACATCGATAATAAAAATAGAATAAGCGTTTTCTTTAATTCATGCTCCGGTTTAACTTGCACTAATTGATTTTGCGTTTTCTGTTCCAACCGACATGAGAATTGTTCTAGAACGATGAATGTCCAGTCGATCAATTTATTTGTAGGATAAACGTCCAACTTATTGAAAAATAGGTGGGCAACTGGAAATGACCGCCCTAGAACGGTTCTCCTGTCGGGTTGAGACAGACCTGACGAATGCAACACAAGTTTTTATTCATATTGTAATGAAATTTCCAGTAATTTGTTCATTTCACATTTTTCGTTCAAAATTTTCACGGATTCCGTCATATTCTACCTTGCTGAAAAAACGCGAAATAGTTATTTTCCTAACAAGATTAACAAGTGTGCAAAGTGTTACTTTTCCGCACGCGTTAAGAACAAAATTTTTCCTACGAGCTACATATCCGTTAGGTAACAACAAAAAAAAATCCCTTTCAAGAATTTAGAACACAATAAGAGCTACTAACTACTAGCTACTCGCTCCGGTGTTAGTCGACCCCGATGTTAAAGGAACAGATAAAAGTTGTATTCCTTTCAAGAGTCTGAAACACTCGAGCTACTCGCTCCGGTGTTCAGGAGCCCCCAATTTGCAGGGAACAGATGCGTGGTGCAACAAACACTTTTCGAAAGGAATAGAGGCGAAAAGCCCCGGAGCTGTTCCGGAGCTCCTCCTAGGTTTGAAAGGAATACAACTAATGATGCGCTTGCTTTCGTGCATTTAAGGCTGAGTTCAGCTTTGCACTCCACGGAGAGGAACGGTATGGGCATGGATATCGTGACGTCATACGTGGTCATAAGCCCAACGCAAAAGAGAACACTCTGAGAGCTAAAACGAACAGGATGCTATCGTTTCGAACGCGCTGAGCTTACAGAGTGTAAAGCCGAACTCAAACTCAATGGTTTGATTTGGGCTAGAGCACTCAGAGCCGCTTTTTGGTGCAAAGTGCGAAGCTCCTAGAACACTTCACACCTGTCAGTGATCTATCAGACTCCATGCGTTTTGCACTCGAACGCTTGAAACCACGCGGGTCGAACTGTAGCCGGAGTACTTCGGAGTAACTCGGGATCGCTCAAAGGGTGCCACCCGAAAGCAGCTCTGGTGTAACAAACACTTTTCGAAAGGAATAAGCGCGTAACGCTCCGGAGCAGTTCCGGAGCTCCTCCTAGGTGTGAAAGGAATACAACTATAGAAACCTGAGGCCAAATTTGTCATCGTGTCAAAGGTGCTGAGGCTGGTTTCCGTTGCCAATCTTGGTTAAAGTTAGACGTTCCGTAATGTGTGGTTCCTGAAAAACCGGTCTATACGGAACGCGGTTGGTTATATCAAACATGTCAGCAAGGTAACCGGCGGCGATTCAACGATTGGAAAAGCGTTCCGTATGAAACCGAAATTTTCAGCAACCACTTGTCAATCGTTGTCAACCGCTGTCAACAGACGTTGTACCGACCGGTTAACCAGGTTAGGCAACGGAACCCACCCTTTTTTTAATAGGTCTGTTTGTTATTTACGTGTAGGATAGGACAGTGCAGACTGCTGGTGCAGCTAGGTATAGCTGATGGGCACCAGAGGCGTTTCCTCGCGGAGTGAATGATTCGAACCACGGCTTAGGAAGGATTTTCATGCATCCGTTTTTCCGTTGAAATATGTCCGAAAAGTCTTCTATTTTGACATATTTATATACGATTATGTCAGAATAGAATGTTAAACGGACATATTTCGACGGAAAAACGGATGCATGAAAATCCTCCCTTAAGCCTAGTACTCATAACTGCGAAATTCGCACTTTTTTGACATTGCTTTGACAATTTGACGTTTAATGCGTGTATCAAACGTCAAATTGTCGAAGCAAAGTCAAAAAAATGCGAATTTCGCAGTTATGAGTACTAGGCTTTAAAGCTTACTTTTCATGCATCCGTTTTCCGACGAAATATGTCCGAAAAATCTTCTATTTTGACATATTTTTATACGATTATGTCAGAATAGAATGTTTTTCGGACATCTTTCGTCGGAAAAACGGATGCATGAAAATCCACCCTAAACCAATTTGTAGATGACGTCATCGCTTGTGAACGCGAGGAAATGGAAGGTTTGAACACAGTCTTATGTCAACGGAGAACAAGCCAAGAGTCCGGTTCGAACTTTTTTGAACCAGGTTCAATGTGACGTCACTGGTTCAAAGCAAAAGTATACAGGTTCAAACCTAGAACCGGATCGAACCAGTTCCACCGCGAGAAAACAGATCAAATCTGTTCTAAAAATTGATCGAAAATCTGTTCCGAATTCATTTACTGTCAAATGAAACCCTGAACTAGATCACAATTTAAAAAAAAATCCCGAATTAGTGTTCTAGAACACATTGAACTTGAACATTTTTTGTTCGTAATTCAATTAGAACTAGTTACAAACTATTAAGTTCAACTAAAATCAGTTCCAAAACGTTTCTTTGTGTTCTAAAGACCTGTTCGACCGAATTAGTTCACGATCAAAAATCTATAATTGCCCTGGAACACATCGAATTTACTTTTTTTTATTTACAATTCATTTAGTTTGTTCGAACTCAGTTTAGAATCAGTTCTGAATTGAACTGCGCTACGTATTTGTTCATATCGAACATACATATCGGGCAGTTCAATTCAAAACTGATTCAGAATAAATTCATTATTGTTGCGTTGTTCCGAACACATTGAATTGTTCGCAGTTCATTTAGAACCTGCTCCAGATGATTTTTGAACTAGTTCTCAGAGTACCAAGTACTTCGATTACTGTTCCGAACTAGATAAAATCAGAACTGGTTCATTATTATATACGCATAAATATGATGCACAATTAATGTTCTAAAACCCAATAAATTTACTCTAGTATTGATTTCAGATCATTTCTGAACTAGTTTTTAGAGTTCAGAGTAGTTCGATTGTTGTTCCGAACTAAAAAAAAAATTATGAACTAAATTATTAAACGCATTTTACGGTGCACGAGAATCCTAAATTAGTGTCCTGGATCATATTAACAATTCATTTAGAATCGGTTCCAGATCATTTCAGAAATGATTTTTATAGTTCCGACTGCTATAATTGCTGTTCCGAATTCGGAAAAAACTAAACTGAATTGTATTGGAGCACATTGATTGTTCGTAATTCTAATAAAATCGGTTCCGAATAGATCTTGAAGTCTTGAACTGGTTCACAATCGAGCAATCTTTAATTTGTGTTCCAGAACATTGTTCGCGGTGCAACTAGAATCAGTTCCAAATCGGTTTTATTTGTTCTTAAACCCAAAAACCTGTTCCGAACTCGTTTGCCTTTAAACTCTTTAATATTTGAACTTACTCTATTTACTTTTAAAGTAAAATACAATTTTGAACGATTTGCTTACTCAGAGTACTCCAAATATGGCATGGCAAATAGAGTAATTATATTCATGTTTGAATATAAAGGAGAGAAAAAAATTACAACTTTTTAATGAATAAACCTACTCTATTCACTCTAAAACAATAGTAGGAGTAAACAGTTGAATTTATTGCACTAAAACGATTTAAGACCAAATCGAGTAACTGTTTAATGTTGCTCGATTAGTTTCGAACATACACTGGATCCATAATTGGTGTTCTAGAGGCAACAATAAACAGAATTTGAGTAAAAAAGTCGATTGAAACGAAATCTCCTCTGAAAAGTACGCAAACATAATCTACTATCCGAAAATGCCGATAATGTAGGCACCTGCAACGATAAATGACGGGTTCAAACTACGGTTTAAACCAATTTATAGATGACGTCATCACTGGTGAACACGAGGAAATGGAAGGTTTGAACACAGTCTTATGTCAATAGAGAACAAGCCAAGAATCCGGTTCGAACTTTTTTGAACCAGGTTCAATGTGACGTCACTGGTTTAACGCAAGAATGTAGAGGTTAAAGGAAAACTACCAAACGCGTTAGTGCAGTTCGTGCAGCGATAGGAGCGGATTGAGTAATATTAATGGAAAGAATAAAATTTACACATTTAAACTTTTTACTCTTTGCCCTATGATATTTGGCAACATAGCAAGGAGAAAATTGAAAAATAGGTTATGTTTCATATGTATTACCGTGCGTCAGGGATGCTATTTCTAGTACAATCGTACTAGATCTAGCATAATCTCGTTTCAAACCGAGTACGCTAGTACCTCTCTCATAAATCTAGTACAATTTGGATTACGAGTCAAATGTCGCTCTTCGCTCTGTACCGTACCCGAGTTCTGCGCTCCACTCTCTACTTGTGGGTTGGGTTTCACGTTCCAGGTCTCACTACGGTGCGGCTAAAGCCAAACAAGATTGGCGTTTCGAATATGAGGCAATTTTTGGCGAAGATATTCAAGCATAATCTGATTATGCTGGGTAATGTGATGTGTTAATTGTGTCATACTTCCCTAACTCCGTCTCCACCAAATTCTGGGCTTGCGAGTGTCGTCACTATCAGCAGAAAATAGCGATGACGTTACCCGCAGACCTCGATCGATTACTTGCGATTCAGACTATGTTAGTGAGTTAATTTTTTTGTGGATTTTAAATGTAGAAAAGGTGATTTTCGATCTGTTCTCACAGAACAAATTAAGTGTTCTTGATCCTCAAGTATCCCAGAATTTGATGGTGGGGGAGTTTTTTATTTTGTAACTTGACGTGTCTCATGTATCGGTGGTTATTCGGTTATTCAGCGGATCATGATAATCGATAGTCGATTTATTACTAAATATGTAGAGATTTATTTAATTCTTTCATTCAGATGATTCAGGGCCGGTTTCCCAATAGCGAGTCACCTCTAGGTTAAGGATAACTCTAGGTAAACATTGCAACTGGACACGTTTTCACCCTTGAGTTAAAACCAACCCGCAGCTGACTGAGGTGACTCGCTATTGAGGAACCAACCCTAAAACAAGTGATATTTACCCCCATTTAGGACCAAATTATGGAGTGGTAAACGTCTGGTTGTTACCTAGCAGGTACTTTCTATGCACTACAGACACTTACCAGTTGGTCCATAATTTGGCTTTTAGGGAGGATTTTCATGCATCCGTTTTTCCGTCGAAATATGTCCGAAAAGTCTTCTATTTTGACATATTTATATACGATTATGTCAGAATAGAATGTTAAACGGACATATTTCGTCGGAAAAACGGATGCATGAAAATCCTCCCTTAGCAGAGTCTATACTTGTATGCCTTTCAAGAGCTTGAAACACTCGAGCTACTCGCTCCGATGTTTAGTAGCCCCCGATTTGCAGCGAACAGATGCGTGGTGCAACAAACACTTTTCGAAAGGAATAAGCGCGTGATGCCCCGGAGCTGTTCCGGAGCTCCTCCTAGGTGTGAAAGGAATACAACTTATTATACATTTGTATTCAAATTTCAAAATTTGGCTGATAGCATCCCTGCCGTGCGTTCGGTATTTAGATCTGAGTTCTCCGAACTTGAATTTACCGTTCCTTTATTTAAAAAGTGTACTCGGTGCAGGCTCATTCGCGTTCGTTTATTAAAATTTCTGGTACTCTGATACAGCGTTCTACTGCTCTGTTCGCTCGTTGGCCAGGTGATTCCAGGCTCCGCTCAACACGTTCTGCTCTTTGAGCAAAATACCGAACGCAAGGTTAGGCAATCCAAACCCTCTGTCAAAAAGGAAAATTCAATATGGCGTGGCGGCCAAGCAAGCTTGTTTTGAATATGTTTTTATTCGTATCTTAAATTATTTTGCGAGTTTTGCTTGCAACTTCGACTTTGATTATTTAATAACATATTTGTTGAGAAGGTATATACCTAAACTATTAAATCGGGTAGAAACTAGACATTCTCTTGTGTTTTTTGGCCCATGTGTGGCCGCCACGCCATCTTGAGTGTCAGTGGTTTTGATTGCCTAATGTTAAATGTTACATAAACATTTCAAAATAATTTAAAAAATAACCACCTCAACTCCTCGCTCAACTCACAAAGTAAATTTTCATAATTGCTTGAAACTTGAACTTTGTTAAGGAAATAAATATAAAGTAAAGCCCCAATTCAGGTAACGAGCAACATATTTTTGTTGTTTCCCACGCACAAACAAAAAATATTTTGCATTTCAATTTGAACACACATAAACCATCAAAAGACAATTTATTATGTTTATTTTTAGTACATCCAAGGAAATATTTGATAGCCAAAGTTATTTTGAGTGCTTCGATTCGACGACAGATTATAATTAAACTGCGTTTTTCATGCTCGACACAAACACCCATAAAGTTTAGTAAGCAACATGTCGTTCCCAACGAAAGAAGAACGGGCCGTGTGTTGGAGCGCAAGGGACAAATATTGGGAATGTTTGGATAAAGGGGCCGAGTCACAGTGTAAAGAATTTAGGAAACTTTATGAACAAAGTTGTACAGCACAATGGGTGAAACATTTCGATAGGAAAAGGAGTTATTTGGCTTTCAAAGAAAAAATTGAGAAAGAGGGGTATGAGCCTTTACAAGAAGAAAAACTTAAGACATAATTTAGGATTTTTAAATTTTCTTTAATAATTTACAGTCTACTTACTGCCAAGTTTTTGTTTTTACTCAAATACTTCTTGGCAAGAGAAAAACCTAGAATATGTCTTTCATAAATGTAAGCATTTCATTTACCATTATGTAGTCATGTTAATAAATAATTGTTTCCAAATTTGTAATAGTTTTATTTCTTACAGAATTCCATCAAAAATAATGAAAAAGTCTGCTGTTTTTGAACCGAGAAGAATTTATCATAAAATAGTGTCTGTTTTTTAACTCGTGTTATAGAAAAACAATGTAAATAATGTAAATAAAAATTATTTTTATTAATAAAATAAAAGGAACTTATTCATACTAACTAAACATAATGAAGATTTTCAGTGGGGGATCCCCTTTCTATACTGGGAAACTCAGTAGTATCAATATGCAAGCTTACTATATGTTTTCCAGGTATCATAACTAATCCTAGCATACGCGGATCTTCGTTCGAAACTGTAGGATCAGAAGGCAAATATTCTGAGCAAGATCCTAGAATAATATTAGCGTCACGGTCTGTACACAAAAACACTCCAATCAAAGTCCTGCCATCAGTCATTTTGATTTTCAGGGTTTTGTTTAGCCACGAGCGAAGTTGTAGGGCTCCCGGTGAAGTCTGCGATACAAAAAGATCCCATTTATTGTATCGAATGAATTATGTTTTAGCTTACATTGATTGGTTTCGGAGTTGTTGGTACTGAGTAATGGGTCTCTTGTTCGAATTCGGAATTTTCTTCTTCGTCGCTTTCGGGATTGCTGGCAGATCCAGATTCGTTGTCGTGCATTTCTTTCAAGAGTTTCAAACTCGTTTCTAATCCAAAACTAACAAATTATCTTTAAAAAAATCTGAAAAAATCAAAGTTTTTGATTTAGTGAGGTTATAGTTAAGGGATGAAGGATGTTCAATGTTTATCGTTCTAGGCTATGACAAGAGCTGCTTTCCAGTGCCCAAATTGTTAGAGTATCATGCTCCTGGAGTGTAACGCTCTTGAACTGTTCGACATAAGCAGCACTGGAACGCTTTCGTCTTATGGCGAATTACATTTGTGAATCAGTGCGCACTGAATGTATTCGCATCTTTTTCTAAAAGCATGTAACATGCAAGGATAAGGATACATTTTTTTTGCACTGGTTTAAAATGGAAATTGCTATTAACCCCCGCCATTTAGGACTTCAGCACTGGAGCATGGAACACCGAAATAAAGGTTGGTGCACGAGGGGGCAGGGTATAACAGAAATGAGTAGTTCAAGTGTACGACACTCTAAGCACTGGAATGCGCAAAAGTAATTGTGGAGCACTCCTGAGCTGCTCAGGAGTAACTCAAATGGGTCACTGGAAAGCACCTAAGGATTAGGAAGGGAAGGATAAAGCATTCTCACTTGCGCGAGATTCGCTCTTTTTCCGCGAAATTCGCTCTTTTTTTGACATTACTTCAACAATTTGACGTTTAAAGCTTAATTCTCACTTGCGCGTAATTCGCTCTTTTTTGACATTGCTTCTCTAATTTGACGTTTGATACACGCATAAAGCCTAGTACTCATAACTGCGAAATTCGTACTAGGCTTTAGGGAGGATTTTCATGCATCCGTTTTTCCGACGAAATATGTCCGTTTAACACTCCATTCTGACATAATCGTATATAAATATATCAAAATAGAAGACCTTTCGGACATATTTCGACGGAAAAACGGATGCATGAAAATCCTCCCTAAAGCCTAGTACTCATAACTGCGAAATTCGCATTTTTTTGACATTGCTTTGACAATTTGACGTTTAATGCGTGTATCAAACGTCAAATTGTCGAAGCAAAGTCAAAAAAATGCGAATTTCGCAGTTATGAGTACTAGGCATAAAGCCGGAGTCTCATGCATCCGTTTTCCGACGAAAGATGTCCGAAAAACCTACTATTTTGACATATTTTTATACCATTATGTCAGAATAGAATGTTTTTCGGACATCTTTCGTCGGAAAACGGATGCATGAGACTCCGGCCTAAAACATCAAATCGTCGAAGCAATGTAAAAAAAAGCGAATTTCGCGCAAGTGAGAATTAGGCATTAGAGTCGCTTTCCAGTGACACACTTCTGAGCTGCTCTAGAGCGCCCCGGACTGTTTATAGGCGTTCCCAGTGCATTAGAGTTTCGCACAACTGAACTGTTCGTTATTCCTCTCCCCTGCCCTCTCAAACACCAGCAATTTTGTGGGAGCATCAAAAACACGATGTTTAAATTAAGGTGCGTTCCAGTGATACAACAGTTGTTTGGAGCACCAGAGTGTGAAGCTACGGGTTCCATTTAACGTGTAATTCGGGTTGTCTGGGAATGAGTAACTTGATGACGCATTTGGGGCAAGGAGAATACACACTCCAGAGAGTACTTATCGGCCTCGTTTTTGGTTATCGCCGCCATATTGGTGTGATACCATTTCCGACGTGATATAAGTCGTCAGCTGTTTAAATAGCCTACATCAAGGCGAGAAATAACTTGCTGCCTACGTCACAACTGGTATTTTGGAAGCGGTTGGAAACGGGGGGGGGGGGGGGGGGGGGGGGACTTGTCTTGTCACACGCAGGCCTTATGAGGATAGGCCATCCTGTAGTAGTATGTATCATCCTTGCATTTGGGGTACCTTATGGATATTTGCATTTTAACTCATATGATGATGTTATAAGTTCGATGGGCGCGTTGACATGCCAATCGATTGCAGCGTGTGCTCCGACTGCTCCGTTCCGCCTGTTCACAGCCTTCTCTACTTAAGTAGAGATGGCTGTGGTCTGTTTTACAAAAGCGGCGTTGCCAGTAGTCGTTTTTAGTCTTGGAGCTCCAAGTTTTTGAAGCAGTAATAACAAGATAAAATATCAATCCGTAACAATTTGGTAAACAAATTGGAGGGGGTATGGTGTTGCACCGTTGCAAACGTCATCAACGGTGTCGTTAGCGGTTTGCGCCAGCGGTCGTAGTTAAGAATATACATTTATATTGAAAAATATCATTTATAATTTTGATTATCGTAATAGGCAAAGGGAAAGAAGCAAACGAAATCTAACAAGGGTTGTTTAACCTGATTTTTGCGACGAATGTAGTTCATCCAAGAACGAACCATAGTTTGTCTTGTGACGTCATGAGGGTAAACTTTTGGTTCTTCAGAATTGAGTTCGGAATGGAATTTTAGTGCGGTGTTCGTGTAGTGCAAGGTTATATCACGTGATGCAGGTGTAGCACCGAATACACCATCATTTTGTGTACCGAGTAAATGGCGTCCGACCATCTAAAGCCGGATTATAATTTCACCAGTCGACACGAGTCGAGTGTCTCGTAAAAGCAAGCAACATCAACGTTATTTCTGAGTCGCATCCTTCGACTTCGAGCAATTAAAATCCCCATCCTGTACACCATTCGAGCACCAAGTTAATACCAAACACAAATAAAGTGTGCACCAAACTTACTCGTACCAATTAACGAACGCCACAGTGTCAATAGTGTAAAAAGTGTCGACACTTTGTATCATTCCGAACTCACCTCACACAAAACACAAAGTATTGAAAATAATAAACACCTTAGGCTGAGTTCGGCTTTACACTCTGTAGACTCTGAGCGCGCTCGAAACGATAAGATCCTGTTCGTTTTAGCTCTCCAGAGTATTCTCCTTTGCGTTGGGCTTATAGCCACATATGACGTCACGATATCCATACTCATACCGTTCTGCTCCATTTGAGTGCAAAACCGAACTCAGCCCTAAATTATGTTTGCAAAAATGGCGACCGTGGCCGAGCTCGTTTTTGTCATCTTTTTCGTCGATTTTCTCCGAAATTTTCGCAGGCACGTGACTGGATAAGACAATTTCAAGTTACAAATCACGTGCCTGTCAAAATTTCGGAGGAAATCGACAAAAAATATGACAAAAACGAACTCGGTCCGTTTGTAAAACATGTTTGGTTCAACACAAATTCAACGTAGTATTCAGCAGAATAATCGTAAAGCGTTTACCGACGTTTGTATCTGCTGACCGCGGCCCATGCTCCCGGCAAACCAAGGATAATACACACTACTATTACAGGATGGCCTATTCTCATAAAGCCTGTGATCTTGTTTTAATCTTCTTCTTTGCATATTATAGGTGGGTTCAGCTTGCTCACTCCGAGTGACTCCTTTCGCACTCCATCCGTTCGGGTTAAGGTTCGGGTATTGCTTTTTACTGTATTAGGGGTGACTCCATTGGCTCTGTTGACTCCACTCCAACTCCGCGCTGAATAGCTGAACCCAGTTTATGTTAATCAAAATTAAATAATAATTTTCAAATCGAGGCGACTAGCACCGGAGCGAGTAGCTCTAGTGTTTTGAACTCTTGAAAAAAATACAGCTATTGAGAAACCGGCCCCAAAATGGACAAAAATCGATAAAAAGAATCGAATGGTAAAATGGGTATCGATATTTATGAATCGATCAAAATCGTGCGTCCCCAAACAACTTCGACATTGACATTTGTCAAAATAAATTCTAACCTAAAAATTCGTGACTAGTGGTTATCTGTCAAAAAAAATGTATTTTCGGAGCCCTAGGAGCCCCATAATTTGAGAAATGATCATAGTTTACGGACTAGTTTGGTATAACTTTCATATAATAATCGGTGAAAAATGAGTACCATCATATCCGACCAAAATTCGATGGAAAAATGCCCTTCGAAAATTGTAGATGCCAAGGAACCCAAAGAGGGTAGTAAAAATGGATTGATTAACGGTATGGTGCACAAAAAGAAACACATGATGAATACAAATCTCAAAAGCGATATTGTAGAGTCTCACGCTGAAATTATTTCGGACTTGCAAAACTTAGAAATTGTAGGCGAAATCCATGCTGAACCCTCGGAGGGAGATCTTGTAAATAATGTAGTTAAATCAAAAAAAAGGACTAAAAAGAAAAAGCACATAACACAGCTAGATGCTAATGAAAATTTAAATGAACCTAAAATAGAAGAAAACCATAATAAGTCTAAGAATGACTCATTTTCAGATAAGCTAGGCACTGATTCAAATGCAATTGTAGAAACTTCTGCTTCGTGTAGCAAAACTTCTTATAGCAATAGTGATATCGACTGTGAAGCTGTGTCGAGTGATTTAAACAATTTAGCGATTAAAGAAGAATCACCTGAAAGAGGGAAAAAGGAAAAAATTGACTTTGTACCATACGAATCTGAACTACAAATGCCAATGATTATGAAGATCATTCAGAAGGATTTATCCGAACCCTATTCTATATACACTTATAGATATTTTATTCATAACTGGCCCAAGTTATGTTTTTTGGTAAGAACAACTTATGCTAGTATAGTGTGATAACAAAAGAGACCGCACTTGTACAGTTGCTATCAAAAAAAAGTAGTACAAGAAAAATCTCCGAAATCTCCTGGTCTATTATACATTAATTTAATTCAAAACCAAAATGACATATTTTTGGCATTTTTTGACAAGTTTTTAACCTAGAAAGTTTCAGATGACATTAATTTGGCATTTTTCCACCGGTTTTCAACCTAGAATATGTCATTGTCAGAACTCAACATATTTTGAAATGTTTATTTGCTGTCAAAATTTTGTATGTTACATCGGGAGCTCTAATTGGGGTTAATAATTTTTGTACTACTTTTTTTTGATTGCAACTGTACATATTATAGATTTGTTTTTACCGTCAACGGAATTTTTTTTCGAAAATAATTGTTCCAAAGAAAATTGTTCAGAAGAAAATTGTTCGAATGGAAAATTGTTCGATTTTCTTTTTGAATAATTTTCCATTTGAACAATTTTCCTTTCGAAGAATTTTCCATTCGAACAATTATTTTCAAACAATTTTCCGGGACTCTTGTTTCTACAACCAAAGGTTGATTCTATGAGAATTAATACCTCAAATTTGAAAAAAAGTACATGGATATGTAGTATCAATTACAGCAATGCCTATGCCTTGCCAATCCAAATATCAAATTTCTTAGGTAATCTCATTTTTCTTGAGCTAGAAATACATTACATTTTCCCTTATATCTCGGAAACAAATAAAAAATTGGCAACCTTGTGAACTTACCTTCAATGGACACTAAAATCTGCCACTTTTGTTTTATTCAACCCACCTTGTGCCTACCTCTTACCGTTTCAGAGATATCGGGTCTTCAAAAAAAAAAACCAATCAAAGATTGCTTTGGTTACGAAAACGTACGTCGCATTATTGTTTGTTTATTGGTCAGGATTTTTGACATGACATTTTGACATTAAATTTCATTGATTGACATTGTCAAAATTAAAGAAAAATATTGCTAAGACCTACGTTCAAAAAACCATAGCAATCTTTGATTGGTTTTTTTTTTGAAGACCCGATAGCAATAGTGATATCACTTAAAACAAGACACCCTGTATAGGCCTGCAGCTAAATGTTCTATTAAGGGCCGGTTTGACAATTCAAGTCAAGTATATCCTGAGTATAGGCGATACTGGGTGGGGCACGAAAAACTTTCCACTCAGGTTTTCTCAGGTGTTAGATGTTTGATCAAAAATCGCTCACACATTAATTTTTGTTTTTTGGGGGACACATTTTATTGGTATTTTCACCCCCTACCTGTGAACTCCTAAATGGGGGTGACAGGTACTCACAAAATTTCAAATAAAAAGGGGGTTGAGTGATACGTCATTTGATAGTTATTTTCATTAAGATTATATCCCCGAAGTTTCAAGTTGCTACTATTTACCCTGTCGAAAAAGCGACTTGTCAAAGTTAGGAAAAATCAATGGAAAAATGATGTGTGGTTTTTACCTGTTACCTACGCATAGGTGTGACAGGTGAAAACTATACAGCTTAGATTATCGATTTATTCTAACTTTGACATGCCGTTATTTCGGCAGGGTTAATAGTAGCAACTTAAAACTTCGGGGATATAATCTCAATGAAAATAGCTACCAAATGACATATCACTCGACCCCTCTTTCCATTTTAAATTTTGGGGGTACCTGTCACTCCCACTTAGGGGTTCACAGGTAGGGGGTGAAAATACCAATAAAGTGTGTCCCCCAAAAAACAAAAATTGATGTGTCTCAGCGATTTTTGATTAAACACCTAACACCTGAGAAAACCTGGGTGGAAACTTTTTCGTGTCCCACCCTGTATGTAGCATAAAAGTTAATTTTTGAATTCTAAAATGAACTTTCATTCTAAATATAGCCTATAAGGATATACTATGACTATGACTATGACTATACTTGAATAATTGTCAAACCAACCTTTAATAAATAAAATAAAAATTAACTTTACTTTATACTGCACACAAAACAGAGTGATCCATAAAATCATGCACAGTGAGAAAAAAACAGAAATGATTAGACACCTTGTATGCATCCCTACCATGACCCCCCTCCCCTCAAGCAGTTCACCTCTCCTGGCCCATGGGGAGCTTTGTCATCACAACAAATATCAATTTATGAATGAGATGTGGGGTCTATCTGTGTTAAGATGTCATTGGCTGTAAATAAGATGAGCCTATATATAATCTCTAAAATATTTACTTAAATATATTTCTAGAATCTTCAAAATCTTGTCCATTCAAATAACACATTATGACTTTGCTCTGAATCTGAGATATCTGAACATACATATAAGCAAATCGCAGAATCTGAAAATAATTTCAAAGTAAACTGAAGTTAGGATCAATAGCAATAGAGAATTTTACAGGATAAAAACAATAAGCTCATTATTAAAGTAATTTTCCTATTCCAGGCCCTTGAATTTGTTTTGAATGTTCATAATTGGTCTCAAATAGACAACAATAATTATTAGAGTTAAAAATGAGAGTAGTAAGGAGAAAAAAACCACTCCACTACACCAACATTTTTGCTCTAGATCTGATAAAAAAAAAGAAAAAAGAATTTGTGTTGATGAACTAGTGAATAAATATACAATTTTTTCAAGTTAAGTAAACACAACTTATGGAGGAGCTGACAGCAATTACTGTATTCCTTTTACCCGTTGAGTTAGCTACTCGGAGCTGCACAATGTCAAAAGCTTGAACGTTCCTTTTAAAAGTGCGTTAAGCACTTGAGTCGCTCATAGTGCATCCTCCTTTCCCCTGATGCACCCAATTTGCGGGGGGTACAAGAAGCCCTATTAGGTAATGACGGTAATGTTAATATTAAAAAATACTGATAAAATCTGAATTGTATATTTTGGAATGACTCCGAGGAGCTCGTTCGGTGTAACTTGATGTATAAAAGGAATACAGTACATACAAATCCATTTGGAGAAAGATTTGTGAGTGAAAATTGCATTCAATACCACAAAGTCCTCTAAATTTGCCCTAAATGTTTTTTTCTATTGAACTATCAAGAGAAAAGAAATTCTCTGAGGTACTCTTTGTCCAAAAATTCAGGTTATCTGATGTTCACTGTATCACAAATTTTGTATTAATTTTAGGCTATGTACGATGGTCAATGTGTAGGAGCTATTGTGTGCAAACTAGATCTCCACAGAAAAGTGGTCAGAAGAGGCTACATAGCGATGCTGGCAGTTGATCAGAATTATAGAAAACTAAGAATCGGGTCCACTTTAGTTCAAATGGCTATTCAAGAAATGACTAATGGTGATGCTGATGAGGTAATTTTTTTTAGAAATTGACAAATATTATTTCATTAAAAAGTATTTTCTAGGTTGTATTAGAAACAGAAGTAACAAACAAACCAGCTCTTAAGCTTTATGAAAAATTAGGTTTTGTTAGGGATAAAAGGCTGTTCCGTTATTACCTCAATGGAGTAGACGCGTTACGATTGAAACTTTGGCTGAGATAGGGCAGAAGTTTACCGAGACAGGAGAATGAGGCTAGAAGCAATGACTGGCTGATTTGGGTTGGGTTTTTTCTTTTTTGTTTCGGCGTGTTCTCACTGAAAAACTGTTGGAAATATTTGGTTTTTAAGTTGTTTATGGAGGAAGAAGATATTGTTTGAACTCAAAATTCAATGTTCGAGATAACTAATTTTTTTTTCAGTCCACCCACGGCTGTATTGTAAATATAGTTTTACAGTTATAACTACATTTTTCATTTACATACATATTTCTATTATGAATGAGAAAATTTGAAAATTTTGTATTAGAATTGTAAAAAACTCACATGGTGGACTTTCAAAGGTTGATTACCTCTATTAAAATCTCCAATTAAAAATTCTAATGACATTTGAAACAAGTTTTGTAAACAAATGTTTTCACATGATTGTGAAAAAATTGGTTTTCAAATGTTGTTTTCAATATTCTCTTGACAACGTCTAATTAGTGATTGATTTACTAAATTTTTGGAAAAAATCTCAACCAGAAGTCAGCAATTATAAGCGGGTTTGTGTGTTAGTGAGGATAATGATAAAATTTGATTTTGTATTGTTGAATTTAACCTTTTTCAAGCTTTTTTTCACTGTACTGTCATGCAATGACAATGTTTTATTTTATTATAATTTTTATCAAACTATAATGTATATGTGGAGTAGAAGATTAAGGAAGTCCTATAATCCTGCTATTCCACACCTACATTATTTCCAATTAATAAAAACTACATTCAGTAAGCTTGTGATTTTCTTAATTATTGCAAAATTATATTGTTTATCCTAAAATGGTTATTTATTATATTTTGTTAATTGTTTCATGATTTTTGTTGTAATTTAAATTATTAAGTATTTTTTTTGTATGAGGGTGTAGTAGTACGATTATACATTGGCATATGTGGTTTTACTTTATAGTCATGAAATGCAGTGAATCTTTATATCCCTATATTTTTGTGTTCAAAACTGCCTATTATTTATTTTACAAAACTTTTCTGGAACAAATTGTATAAGTGGGAGGTTACAAAATTTGTACTTGACCGCAAACTAAAGGGATCAGAAGATGGAACAAGATAATATTTTTTGTTGTGTTGTAACCATTCATAAATGTTTTCAAGGCAATTTTTTGTGATTTTTTTACAAAATATATTTGTGTCGAAGTGCATGTTCTGATTCCTATATAATTTGTAACTTAACTATTAACATTATAACACTAATATTAAGACTAATTGTGTGCTTAACTGTTACTTTATTATTTATTAGAGTGAAATTTAAAAGAAGGCTGCTTTTAAGACTGTAGCTTTTGGAAAAATATCTTGTGTTCCTTAAAAAACCTTTCGAACAAGGGCACTTTTTTAAAAGCCTGGCTTTCTTCACTATTATTGAAACCCCTTCTTGGAAATCTAAGTAGATATTTGTTCATAATAACAATTAATATTATTGTATATTTCTGTATATAGGGCTCTTTTTAATGTTTCAATTTTTAGGGATGTAATAAACTGGAATATACCAAATTTATTATTTAGGATACGATGTTTTTTTTTGGTCAAAAGTATCTTAAGCTGCGTATGGATAACTTGCGGCAAACTGTCGAACATTGGCTCGCGCGGCAAATGAAGCGTTTTGGCTCGCGAAATCGATACGCGGCCTTATTGTAGCTTAGTATTAATTTCTACTAAATTAAAGGACGAAAATATATTTCAAAAATTCAAAAATTAAAAGTGTCTTTTGGCAAGACTGTCACAAGATTACCTGCTATTTACCTATTTACCTAATGAGCTAATTAATTGTCTCACATGACTTATTTGTAGCTTGAATTTGAAATTTAAATTAGTATTCAGTAAAGTGTATTGAATATTTATTGATTGAACATTGTACAAATTTGAAGTGTTGTTCTTCGTCTTCCTTTTTGTTTTGTCTCTATATGGGCAACCACTTTTTAGAACTAGTCTTGGAAGTTCCTTGCCTCGATCTTAAGGGGGAAGAACATACTTACTTGACAGTAAAGGAGTCAAAAAGTCAAGTTTGTCCCCCATTCGAAAATCGTCAGAGATAACTACAAAGTCATCGTGAAACCATAGTAGACCTGCAGAATCAGGCTGTTGGGTATTTTGAAGAAACAACCCCCAAGAAAGATTATGAATGCTTCACAGTAGCCAGATGATACTTGGTGAGAAAACCAAAGATTTTTTGGAAATATCCCATGCTTGAACAAAATAAAACCAAATCAATTTACCTAGAAAACATCATTTTATTTCTTAGCGACTAAAGTAAAAAAATTCCATTGAAAAGATAAACTTTGGAAGTCAAAAACACAACAGTCGAAACAAACATCACAAAAATGTCACAGCTAAGAATATAAGATCTCTATAAATGAAAGAAGTAAAATCTTCATACAAATATCATACAGGAGGATAGAGAGTATAATCCAATTTATGGATTTAGACAATATTTCTTAAATATGGGGTAGCTGTTTGAGACTTAAACTACAAATAACATAAAATAGCACTGATTAATAACGACAGTATACAGCTAATGAGATGTTTTGTGAATCGTAAACTAAACTCAAAAATCCTTTGTGAATGCTTAATACTAGAAAATTTTAACAAACAAAAATTCACTATAAATAATTATAAATAAATGATTTCTGCAAAACGAGTATAAACTCTAAAACTTTCTATCACTGGTACTGGCCACGCTTTCAGCTAAATCTGCAAAACTAGCAGCAAAGTCCATACTGCTCTCAGTCATAAGACAACGTAGCTGAGCGTCTACTTCATTCGATATTTCAGAAGCCATTGCTACTGGAGGCTTTGCAGGACCCTCCAAGTGTCCAAGTAAGCTGCTCAAAGAATAATCTCCAACTTCTGCGTTCATCCATTCGTTTTCCCCTTCCTGCAAGATTTTCGAAGGACTTGACGGTACCGTGGATATGTTGGAATGTTCATCTTCGGGATCGATTACTTTTTGCAAATCGAAATCTTGTTCTGGCTCTAGTTTAGTTTCTGCTACGGGGATTATGGGGGTTTCTTGAGATTTTATGCTCATCCGGACTATTTGGTGTCCGCTTAAATTATTTGGAAGCAATGGAAGCTGTCAGAGAGAAAAGTAATTAATTAAAAAACACAAGATAATGCAGTTTTCTTGAAAAGTGCTCTATATAATTGCAACAATATTTTTTTCCTCAATAGGTACTCACTTTTCTTTCAACAACAATCGGTTTTTGCCTAAATCTTCTGCCTTTTCTATTAGTAAATTTTGGTTTAAGCTTTTGTATAGAATTCAGTTGCTGTTGAACAGTGGGTGCTTGATTATCTAGAAATAATTAAAATATACTTAAGTGTGTATACAAAATAAAAAAATTACTTACTTGGTCCATTAGACAAAATATGCATAGGAGTTCTAAACAAACCACTCGTAGCTTCAGATTTTTCATTTTTCATTTCAGATACAGCATTTGCTGAAGAATTATCTTCTGCCTTATTAGAATTCGTTGAGCCATTAGTGTCTATCATGTTTCGTCTCACCCTAGAATTTCCGAGCGACGTATTTTTTACAGGCTTTTCATTGCATACATGACCACATCGACACTGAAAGATAACTTACTAATAATTATTGTCTTAAAGTTTGATATTGTTTTACCTTAACAGCAGTTTCTCTGTAATTTAGCTTGGCCAATGACAATAGCTTTGAAAGAGATGATGTTAAGTTTTTTTGTCTCAGTTCCCACGATTCTTCATAAGAATCATTCCACATTTCAAGAAAATTTGCTGAAATATGAAGAGTAATTAGTTGTGTGTATAAAATTCACATTATTCAAACTTTATCCTTACCAGCACTTTTTTTCGGTCGTTCCAGCTCCTCGCCGTCCGTCCCCCAACTATACTCTAAAATCAATTTAGCATCAGATCCATACATCAAATAAATTTCACCAACTGTTAAACTCTCACTAGTTGCTTCAGTCCAGCCTCTTTTAATACTTTCAATATGCTCCAAGTCTTCTTCAGTTACTTTTAGCAATTCAGTCTGTAATATGTGTAACATCACAACAAATGAATTATCTGAACTAATAATAAACTACCTTTTGTACGTGTTCGGTTTTAATATCCGTTTTCAATGGCAAATCTTCAGGTTCGCTAGTTTCAGAATGCTGCCGATCGAAATTTTGCAAAGATAAAATCGTATTTATAGCGTCGTGAGCTGCATCTGCTAGTAAAGAATCTGGTTCGTTTTCATAATAATTGGTAGCCTATATAAAAAAAAAAAAAATTGATGAATTACAGTTAAATATAGGATGAAACATTTACCTCATTTTCTTCTTCCTTTTTTGGTTCAATCTTAAGTGTAGTAGTATCACAGCTTTCAACTTTGGGCTCAGTGACATCCAATAATAATTTAGGTTTCTTTTTTTTCGACATCATTTCTTTAATTTCACTGTACGTATCCAATCCTAAACGACTCTCATAAGCTGTCAAACAAATGGTTTGTCGCGTTAAATATTCACTTATGTTAATAGAAGGTAAATCGATTTTAGCCTCTGACGGAGGACTTAATTTTAGAGCAGACGTTACAAGTTTGACTTTTTCTTCTACTGCTTCTTTTAATGGTACACAATCGTTAGTTATTGGGTTAGTTGAAATTGCTGATTTTTCATAGGTTGATACTTCCACAGTTTTCCATCTAAATAAAATAATATGTAGGAACTGTATTAAAAAAAAAAATTCATACCTTTTATTGAGACACTGAATTAAAGCATTTAACCTTTTTTGTATAGGCAATGTTGTCCTAACTCTAGGATTCTGAGCCAAACATTGAACTTTTACATATGAAGTCATATCTTTTGGTCTCAATTCAACTGTAACTCTGTTGGGCAGTTTGACTTCTTCATATTTTTCATCTAATTGGTTAAGTTTTATCAATGCTCTGCACATTGGTGTTTTCACCCGTTTATTTTGGCCTTCGTAAAAAATGCAGTTAAAATAAAATCTAAAAGATTATTTAAACATATTACCTTTCACTCTAACACAAGTTGCTCCTCTGTAAATCAATTCATTCAGCTTAATGAAAGCTTTGTCAGATATACCTCTCACTTTTTTATAGAGTTCTCCGTAATTTATAATTCCATAGAGTTCTTGGACTACTTTTTTAATTCCATCCGAGAATTTTACATGTTTTGAGATTTCATGGAAAGTTTTACTGTAAAAGTAACGAACTACAAAAAAAAAATACAGCTGATGAAGAATTAGGGTCTAATAATTATTGCGGTTTGATTTTATCGATCAATGTGTTAAATTAAGTATGTAATTTACCCGTCATAATTGCATTGAACTTCAAGAATAATATGTACTTTAACTTCAAATGTAGAAAATTTGTATAGTTTTCTACATTCTTGATACTGGTGTGTTCCTGTTTGTTTTAATACAATCCTTCGGAACTCCGTATCTCCTCTCTCAAGTTTTTAATTGTCTAGACACAAGACACGTGAAATTCCTGAAGGTCAATCAAAACATTGTTTTTTGACTGGTTATATAGACAAAAGGTGTTTTCTATGTTTTTTTTTTAATAAAAACATGCTTGTCATTCCAGGGACGATATAAAAGGTACCATCGTCACCAAAAGTATCTGGGACAAAAATAATGCATAATAATCTCCTGGACTAATTGTATTGTCATTCATTTCAATGCATTTGATTCATAGTTTGACAAATAATTGACAATTATATTCATATAATAGTACAAGAGCTAATATAATGCTGTCCCAGTTACTTTTGGTGACGATGGTACTTGGGATTGATTGGGACAGTAAATGACAAAGTTCTTCAAGCTAGGTTCCTTGAGGTTCTTATGGATGGGCGAAAAACTTGTTTGGATTCCACTGGTTGTGGTCGCAAAACAGCATTTACTGCAGAGATGGGATCCAAAATTGTGGACTGCCTGCTGGCCAGAGCAAGAGCTGGTTACCCTTGTGATGAAGATGAGCTGCTAAACCTTACGCACGTTTTAGAAGACATAAAATGTCACGCACCTGTCCGTAAAGTAGTTTTTTTACTACTAAGCTGAGAAGTAGTCATTAAGTCTGTTTCTGCAGAAATCACAAACTAATCAGAGCCAATGAAGTTTATTGGTTGAACAGTCAGAAACAGTCAGAAAACTACTTTCAACCAATGAAATTCACTCTGACTGGTTTGTGATTTCTGCAGAAACAGACCTATTATTCCATTAATTTTTCTGGGAAAAAATTGAATTTCCTTCCCTAGGTTGATAATGAAAATAATGAAAAAATACCTAGGTCAATAATGAAAATGATGTCATGAAGCAAGGATATTTCAATCAAATTTCAGTGTCAAACTGTCAATTTTAAAAAAAGCTGGTTCCTGTATGGACATACATTATAGGAAATTACCGTAAGCTGTTGATAGAGGGCAGCACTTCCGACAAGAGAAAATAATTTGAGCACAGGTTTCAAACCTATTTTTTATTTTTTACTAGCAGTAGTAAAAAAAATTCTATATATCCCTCGGTAGAGAAAGTCATTATATACTTTACGCATTATATAATGACCAACTTCTCTACCTAGGTATATAATGTACTATTTTACTAAAAACTAAACAACTATAATATATCCTATTCACAATCTTTAGTTCGCAGGTACAGGTAAATTTATCACCTTTCCCTATTTGATAGGAAGGTGATAAATTTTTCTTGCACCTTCCTACAGATTATGAATAGATAATAAGTATGTACAGGGTGTTTCAAATTTGAGCCACAACATTGGGATCTCGGAAACAGTAAGATATACAGGGTTGGTTAAATGGGGGCAAAGTTGCATAATTTGATGCTTAACAAAATGCCGTTTTGATATTTAGGATATTCCGAATACTTCCAGAGATATCTGGAAAAAACCGAAATTTAGCAATTTTTTTTTTTTTCCTTACTTTATTTGGAGTGATATTCCAAAATAAATGTCACTTCATTATTGCTACCTTTTCTCCCTTACAAGATACTACCATCAAATTTGAAATCTGACATTTCGTCTTTGGGCCACCATCATCAACTTCATTTTTTTAAATACGGACCCTTATTTTTTATTTCAGATTTTTACCAAAACAATGGCCTTGACAACGGCTGATGCACCCGGTGAGGCTGTACTTCAAGAGCTGCAGAAGAGACAACTACACTCGAAAAACATTCTAATATTTAGTCTTCCTGAAACTAATATTCAAAACAGAGAAGATCGTGAGAAAGATGAGAAGGCAAAAGTAAATAACATCTTGAAGCAATGCGTTGATACCTTTAACGAAGAAATACAGTACTTCAGATTGGGTAAACCTGATGAGGGTAAAGTCAGGCCAATAAAGGTTGTCCTAAAATCAAAGAAACTGTCATTCAAATATCGAGAAATAAAAATAAACTGCCTAAGGACTCACAGTCATACATAAAACCACATCTTACGATACAACTATGATACAACAACGTGAATACCTGCGAAAGCTCGTGACGGAACTCAAAAGCACGCAAGAAAAGGGTGAGCAAAATCTTATTATTAGATACATAGATCGAGTGCCAAAAATATCCCAAATTATTAGTTAAACACAAGCAAAAAAATAACTCACAATCAACTGTTGGAAGTCACTATGTTTTATACCAATGCTAACTCATTGTTCACGAAATTGGATGAATTTTATGCAATAATTGCCCAGAAGTCTCCAGCCATAATATTTATAACTGAAACGTGGGCAAACAATAATAATAAAACACTGCTTGCCCTTCCTAGTTACACACATTTTCAAAGTTATCGAGTGGATCAAAAAGGTGGTGGCGTCATCATATATGTTCGTGAAAATTTTGCAAACCTCAAAATTAGTGCTCCGGTCAACACCAAATATAGCAATGAGAACAGTAAGATCATGTCAGTCTGGGTTGACATCCAGATAGGCAAAGAGTCCCTCTTTTTGAGATGTATATACAGACCTGGAAATGTTGATGTTTTGGAAAACAACATATTATTGGAAACCATGGAGAGAGCGTCAAATGAAAACAAAAGCATTATTATGTTCAGTGACTTCAACTACAGGGACATCAACTGGCAAGGCATGTCACTACTGGGACACGACGAAGAAACTAGAAACTTCCTTGAAACATACACCCAGTCAAGTTTTCACCAACTTATTGACTTTCCCACTCGCATAAGAAATAACCAAACCTCATTATTGACCAATGACAAAAAGCTAGTCACTTCAATAAAGCAGGAACCACCAATCAGGCTTAGCGACCACATTGTAATAACTGCCATCACGCAAATAAACACTCTACGTGGCCAAACACGCAAGGTCAAAAAGAAAAATTTTTGGAACGCCAACTATGGCCCTATTAACAATAAACTAAAATTGCACATGATTGATGAAGAAAATGTCTCCTATGAAAATTTCATTAACGCCATCAAACAAGCGATTAACCAACATATTCCACTAATCCGAACAAACCTTGGATTACACCAACTATATTTAAAGCCATCAACAAAAAACGTCAGCTGTGGGATAAATATGGGTTAACAAATTGTACATCTGATTACGCTACCTATAGAATACATAACAACAATCTAAAAACATTAATAAAAAATGCAAGACGATCATATGAACAAGGCCTGCTGGAAACCAGTGATAAAAAATTCTATGCGTACATTAAAAGGACACTAAACTCAAAATGTGCCCAAATTACTCTCAAGGACAAATCAAATAATTTAGTTACTGACTCAGCTCAAATTGCAGATCAGTTTGCCAGGCACTTTTCTGAACTGTACACAACTGAGCCTAGTACACCACCACCCCCAATACAAATCATCAATGGGGTTGAGGAACATATTACAACCATTGAGTTTAGACCAATCAAAATAGAAGAAGCAATCAAAGGTTTGAAAATAGACTCCAGCCCAAGGATTGATGAAATACCGCCAATATTTCTCAAGAATTGTGCAGAGAGCATCAGTCAGCATCTTGCAAACATCATGAACAAATCAATGAGTGACCAAAAACTTCCACAAGACTGGAAAAAAGCCATCATAGTGCCCATATATAAAAAAGGTGACAAGCACAATCCAGTCAACTATTGCCCCATAAGTCTGACAAGCTGCATTAGTAGGGTAATGGGAAAAGTAGTCACTAAAGAATTAACAGAATTTATGACACACCACAATATCATACCTGAGAGCCAGCACGGTTTCCTCTCAAGAAGATCAGTTGCAATCAACCTACTGACTGCGGTGAACCAATGGTCAGCGTGTTTAGATAATAACGAACCCATTGACATTATATACCTCGATTATGGGAAAGCGTTCGATAAAATACCCCATAAAAGACTGCTCAGCAAACTCGAACACTTTGTAGTAAGAGGATACCTTTTGTCCTGGATAAAGAGCTTCTTGACAGACAGGGAATACTGCGTGCGCATAAATGACCAACTCTCACCAATGTACACTGTCACAAGTGGAGTACCGCAGGGGTCTGTGTTGGGACCATTATTGTTCCTTCTTTACACCAGCGATTTACCACGACTTGTCACCTCTGACATCCTTTTATATGCAGACGATACCAAAATATACGAAAATCCATCCATTACATTAAAGAGTGATCTACAAAAAATTAGTGACTGGTCCAAACAATAGCTACTTCCCCTCAATGCTGACAAATGTGTTGTGTTGCATATGGGTACGGGAAACATCCGAATAGAATACACAATAGATCAACACACACTAAAATCTGTAAAAACCCATGAAGATCTAGGGTTAATAATGTCTGAACCTTAAGTGGGAATCACACATTAATAGTATAGTAAAGAAGGCCAATACATTAATATACTTAGTCAAAAAAGCATTCCAAGACTTGCCTGAAGAAATAGTATTAAAAATCTATCAAACTTACATTTGACCAAAACTAGAATTTGCCTATACTGTGTGGAACCCATATTACATAAAGGATATTGAACAATTGGACAGGGTACAAAGAAAAGTCACTAGGATACCTCTAACAAGAGGATCATGGAATACACAGACAGACTTAGACACCTACACCTAACGACACTTAGAGCAAGAAGGACCCGTGGAGACCTTTAAGTGGATTACTGGATATTACCCTTGCGGTAGTATATTTAAATTGAGTACGTCACGGAAGTTGAGGGGCCATTCTAAGAAGTTGGAGAAGGAGAAGTGCAGCAAATTGATGCGAAGGAACTTTTTGATTAATCATGTGGTCTATGAGTGGAACAACCTACAAGAGGAAACTGTGTCTGTTAACAATATAAACGCGTTTAAGAATCGACTTGATGCTGAAATGAAAAACAAAAACATACACTATAGTCTGTAAAACTCGATAGGAACAACCTCATCGGCTCTGTCGCTTGTTTGCTCCAAGAATAATAATAATAATAAAAATTTGAGCAAAAATGGTCCAAGGCAAAAACATTGTTTTCAACATATTGGTCCTCAACTCAAACCCAACATTCATGTAAATTATAAAATATTTCTTACCATGTTCCTTTGTCCTCATCTGTTCTTCGAGTACCCCCTTTTTCTTGAGTTTGCTGTTAATATACTGCTGTATATTTTCAAAATCTTTCCCAAACTCATTTATGGCTTCAAAAAACAATACCTTATCTTCATAACTCCATATTCTAGCTTCTTTTTTTATGTCCCTTTTAACCTCAGTCTTATTACCTTTACTACTAGTTTCCTACAAATAAAATATTTAACGTAAAGTAATTAATAAAACTATATTAACTTACAGTAACAGTCGTGCTTTGGCTCAGATCCTGTTTGATTTTTTTATTCACTACTCTGGTGCTACTCCTGACAGGCTGCCCTTTACCTTCATGCTCTGTAGATTTTTCTGCAGGACCAACTGATGTAGGGTGGTCTGAATTTGGGGAGGTTAGTGAAGGATCAGAAGAATCTTCATGCTAATTGTAAAAATCATGTTTTAAATAAAAAGCAAATAGAAATGGCTACTGTACATACATACGCCTTGGATTAAATTTATATTTTCTTTAGTATCTGCAATGATTATTTTGAATCATGCTACAGGTTATTGCATGATTATGCACTCATTTTCCAGTAAAAATAGTCAACTAATTATTAATTACATTCCATGGACCCTACCTTTTTATCTTGTTCCTGTTCCAGTTTCATTTTCTTGAAAACTCTTGCACTGCTCCGAATCTGCATGCATCTTTCCTCTTTGGCAACAGCACTAGTGGTAATAGATCCAAGAAGAAACTCCTCCGGAACGCCGGCCACAACAGAATCCACAATTTTCTTTAAATTTTCATCTTTTGCCTCGTCAACATCCATTGTGGTTTGTGTGTCCTGGCGTTGCATTGTGTTCGAATTCAGCCCGGTATTTTCGTTAGATGGGATTTAATTTGTCGCGTTTATTGTCACATTCTGTTTATTTATCACTGATTCGCTGTTTCGTCGATGGAAAACACAAATAATCCCGTTATTTTTGTCGGATTTTAAAGCATTTTAATAATCGCGACTCCAATCGCCACTTTAGTTTTCACCCTTTTCACCGAAAATAAATAATAAATTCATTTAAACTCTACATTCGTTTAATCATTTCAGTGTTATTGTAATTGTATATCTCTCGCTCTCTAGTTGCATGCGTTAGAAAGAAATAGTTACAATTGGTTTAAAAACTCTTTTTAGTTGGCGCCATCTGTGAACGAGCCTGCCATTTATAATGTGGACGAGATAAAGCTAAATTGGCAAAATCCTGCCAACGGGATTTTTTAAATTTTTAACTAATATGAATACTTATATTACTTATTCTTCGAACTGAAACTCGAAATTTAAAAGGTCTATCATATGGGATTAATCATGAGAAAGATTTTCATCAGAAATGAATATTTGAAGAGAAATTCTGATTTAGTAGAAATAAATTGTAATACCGGCCCTTAGGGCCAAATTATCGACTGATGGTAAACGTCTGTTACCTAGCAGGTACTTTCTATGCACTAGAGAATAGAGAGTACCTGCTAGGTAACAACCAGACTCTTACCAGTTGGTCCATAATTTGGCCCTTAGGGCCGGTTTCTCAATAGCAGGTCACCCCTGTTTAAGGATAACTCCTTCGTAAATATAGCAAATGAAATGGACACGTTTACCCTGGAATTAAAACCAACCCGGAGGTGGCCCTTAGAAAAATTCTCCAGCGAATCCAGAGTTACCTAATAAAAGTTCAAATTTTGACTATTACCGGCTCTTGATTGGCTCCAGGAAGGTTTTACAAAGAATCAAGAGCCGGTAATAGTTTAAATTATTATGTGTTATTATCTGTGGCTCCTTAAAGGTACGGTTTGTTAGGAGAGTACGCGTCGCACAACACAACTGACAACGTAAACGTCGTCATTGGTCAGGTATGAACATAGGTATGACGTACACCCGTTTTCTCACGTCAAAAGACGGGTGTACGTCATACCTGAACCAATGACGACGTTTACGTTGTCAGCTGTTGTGCTTCGCGTACTATCCAAAGGTAAAAACAAGAGGTACAAACCCAAACCGTAGTCCGTACCTTTATTTACGTGATGACACGCTTGGTTTGTGGTTGTCCTTAAGGTACGTTTTCACGTTCATGCAGTTTGCGCAAATTGATTTGTGCATGCAAGATTTGCATAAATTGCAGGAGCGTGGAAACCAAAATCGTTTGCTCGCGCAAGCCAAAAAGTTTGACTTGAGGATATCTGGAGTTTTCCTTCAGAGATAAACTCAGTTTAGTGCATGCACAAATCGATTTGCGCAAAAAACATGAGTGTGAAAACGCACTATTAGACTTTCCTTGTCTAATGTCCATTTGCACGGCTATCACTTAAGGGATATTTAATTTAAGTGGAGCTTTGAATGTGACTGTTGTTGGGGTTGTCAGAAACAGGGTGACATCAGTGGTGTATACTCGATCGACCTACAAATACTGAGGCGTTTTCTCGCGTCTCAAATGTTTCAAAACTGGTATTAAGTAATGTCACCATGAAGTCATAATTTCTCGGCGCGAGAAAATGGTTTAAAAACGTGGATTGGATTGTATTTCGAAACGGTTTGAACACGTGACGTTATGGGTTTATCGCGAGAATGTACTGTTTCAAAACAGTTTTGAACCAGTTTCAAAATTGGATGCGAGAAAACGCCTCAGATTTACATGAAAATATACAAAATTATATAATTGGCAATTATTCAAACACTGCGTACATGCGGGATTAAATTCATAATATCATGGAAGGTAGGGGCCGTAGGGGGTTGTAAGAAACCAAGGATAATACACACTACTAAGGATTGCTTATCGGCTTCGTTTTTGGTAATCGCCGCTATATTGGTGTGTCACCATTTCCGACGTCATAACTAAGTCGTCAGCTGCTTGCACTAGTGGTCGTAGTTTAGAATTTAAATTTATGATGAAAAATATTATTTGATTTTGATTAACCTATTGTTCGTCGATTTTTATCTGACACTTTCCGTATGAGGAGCGAGGGGTTGAAGTACACTTGGCCAATCATAAAACTGGTAGGCATTTTCCTATTGTGTTGTATTGTGTAAATCGACTTTTTTATCACCTCAAACTACCTAGACCTAAGTTGAAGAGACTTTTTGTTATTAAGCCTAACTCACACTAGGCACATTTGAAAAATAGGTCGTTTTGTTATCCTCCACTAGTGCGCAATAATTTACACTTTTCTGCACTGAGGTGTTTGTTATACGGTTAGTGCAAATAGTGTAAAGGCGTTTGTTATTTCAGTGTAGGGTGCCCAATCTTGCACTACCTACACCTGCTCAAGAGGAGGTGTAACAAGTGCAGAATGGGGAGGGGCCAATAGTATTTAAAAACTACTGCAAAGAAGCTGTCTTCAGGGTTGGAAGATAGGGAATATCCATCTTCCTTTATCATTTCCGACAATAAAACTTTGTATAAATTTTGTTCTTTTCCTAAATATTACACAGTTTTTTCTTGGTTAGTTTCCACTTCAATCTACAAATAATAATTTTGTGAGGTTAGAGAATTATCCGTTCGTTCGCTGCACGAACTGCACTAACGCGTTTGGTAGTTTTCTTTGAACCTGGTGCCCATCTGCTACACCTAGCTGCACCAGCAGTCTGCATTGACCTATCCTACACGTAAATAACAAACAGACCTAATATATATTGCCTGTACCAGTTTTATGTTTGGCCAAGTGTATATGGAAAAAACAGGTGTGACGTCAGGTGACCATTGGCGTTTTAATGTAGAGTGCCACCAGCTCACATTCCTTTCGAGTATCAGATTAAAATCGACGAACTTTAATAGGCAAAGAGAAAGATGAAAACGAGATCTAAAAAAGAGTTGTTAGAATGTTAACTAATGTAGTAAAACCAAGTATGCATAAGGCAAAAGTCCGCGGAATCATAACCTGTGGGCAAACAGCCTACGTCAAGGCGAGAAAGGACATGCTGCTTACGTCACAATTGGTGATTTGGCGTGGTGGGGGGCTTTAGATTTGCTTCACACAGGCTTTACGAGGATAGGCTATCCTGTGGTATTAGTGTGTATTATCCTTGCAAACAAAAGTTCATCAAGAGCCGCTTTCCAGTATGGGAGTGTGACGCCCGGAGCTACTCGGGGCGTTGAGCCCCCGAGCTGTACGTACGCGTCAACCTGTCAGCTGTCACATCCGTGGGTGGCTAATGGCTATTTATTTATTTATTTCTTGTTATATCTCAAGATTGAACATTTTAAAAACTATAGTTTTGATTCTCTTTCATTTTTGATAAATAAAAAAACAAACTGCACAAACAAACAGATAATTATTTTTAAAATTTGACATATTTGACACTAAGACAGGCGTTTCACGCCATTATACTCAGAGGCGGACCTAAGACCTTTGTGGCCCGACGCAAAAAAAAAATTTGGGGCCCTGTCTCAAACTATTTTTGAAGTTTTTTAAAGCCAAATATAAAAACAAACTTAATTAAATAACAGGTTTATTAAGAACATATGAGACAATATTATGAAAACAAGGTAAACAAAAAAAAATTTAGAAATGTTTCAAGTCACAGCCACTATTTTTCTTGGCGGACGCTGCGTATTTCCAGCTGAGTTGGCAACGCTGACCCCTATTCCACTTAGGGCGAGTATTACAAATGTATTTTTACAGAATAACTTAATGTTAACTTCTGGAATGACGTTACTTCTCAGTAATTCCAGGAGTTAACTTTTAGTTATCTGTCAAAATAATTTTATAATACCCGCCCTTAGTCCTACAAACACACAACTTGAGCTGGGTTCTGGGTTCGGCTTGCACACTCCGTGTACTCCGAGTGACTCCGTTCGCACTCCAGCCGTTATCTGATTCGTTAAAAGGTAATACCCGAATGGCTGGAGTACGAACGGAGTCACTCGGAATGCACGGAGTGTGCAAGCCGAACCCAGTTACACTGGCACCAAAAACAAAAACTAAAAAGCACCATAATATCCGTACCTACTCCATCGACAAGTGCCGTAAATTATTAATGGATCAGGATCTCTTCGAAATTTAATTTTCGTTTTTTTTTTTTTTGTATATTTATGAGTTTTTTTTTTAATTCATTTTTATCGATGCCTTTAAAATTCGGTTGTGTGGGGGCCCCTCAGCTTTGGGGGCCCGACGCAGAGTGCGTCGTTTGCTTCATGTTAGATCCGCCACTGATTATACTGGAACGGTACAAATTTAGTGCGTGGCGCCCCTGAGGTGCTCTAGAGCGCGACAGAGCGCGCCAATGTGCATACTGGAAAGCGGCTAAGGCGGCGTTCCGTATTTCAACCAGAGTTACTGATCGGTATGAAGCGGTTCGTCTATGGGCCGGTTTCTCAATAGCGAGTCACCTCCGGGTTAAGCATAACTCCAGGGTAAACATAGCAACTTGACACGCTTACCCTGGAGTTAATATTAACCCGGAGGTGACTCGCTATTGAGAAACCGGCCCTATGGTCAACAGTCTGGTTTCTGAAAATGTGGTTTGTGTGGAAAGCTTTGGTTCAGCTTTGGTTTGTTTTGGACGCTAGATGATAGAATATTATTCTCTAAAAAATATATTTAATCGTCAGGAATGAATGTTCCTTTTCCACCGTGAATACACTTCGAAAGCGAAGAAAAAAATAAAAAAATTAAAAATTGATCACATAACCTAACAAATAAATGTCAGAAATTGAAAACAAACCGAAAAAAAAAACAGCTTTTTGATCGGTAGAATCAGTTGACAGTTGGTTGGGAATAATATTTCCCATCATAAATGCATATTCTAAAGTACGACCGCTAGCGTTAACTAAGGTTGTTTAACTTTAAGAACCTTGGGCGCAAACGACAAAGTTAATGACGTCGGCAATGGTGCAACACCACTCACCAGTATGACCTTGATTCTAAAAATCGAGGCCGATGAGCAATCCCTGTAGCAGTGTGTATTATCCTTGATTAACGCCCACTTAGGGCCAAATTATTTGTTCGTCTATTTTTAATTGATACTTGCGGTATGAGGAGCGAGGGGGTGTTTCATATGGCAAAAACAGGTGTGACGTCAGGTAACCATTGGCGTTCTAATGTAATT